ATCTCGAGACGCACCTGGCCGAAGACAGCATTGGGATTAGCACAGGTGTGCTGGCGGCGATCGAGAAGCCTATCCGCAAAGTGCACGAGTCGTTTCAAGCAGAGATTGACGTTTTACGTGCGGAGCTGGAGGCCAACATTGGGCTACCTCACGCTCCTGTTTTGGCTGGGCCTGGCCCAGGCCCCTGCGGCAAGCAAGGCACCCACTCCTTGGGCTGTGGTATCTCGTCTACTGTTCCTGCTTCGGTTTCATCTACCTCAGGCGGGCTTCCTGGAGGCCCTCGACTGCCAGTACCACCTACGACGGGTGAGCCGACGCCTGCTCCACCACCGGCGCCTGCTCCACCGCCGACGCCTGCTCCACCACCGACGGCCACACACGAGTTCCACGGCTTCGCTCTTGGGGCCAAGGTTTACCCTGTGGGGCTCAAGACGCGCGCCTTCAATTTCCTGCCTGGGCGTGTTTGTGGTGGGGATGAAGAGCGCGTTCATGCGGTGCTTTTTGGCTTCGACGACGCCAAGAAGATAAGGCCCGATAGTCTCGTGGACGCGTGCGCGGACGAAGAAGATCACAGTTCGGACGATTCTTCTTTGGACCACTGCTACGAGAGCGTGTCGATGCAGGGTATGGCAAAGGATTCCTGTGGCCTTCAACTGCAGGGAACAACTTCTACCTCTTCCTCTGGCGGGCATTCCTGCGGCCCTAAAATGCAGGGTACAACTTCTACTTCGGCGACGGGTGAGGCGGCCGCCTCCTCCTCCTAAAGTGTGACAAGACCGATCTGTTACGTGCGACGTGTCCAGCCCACCTAGGGGGGTATCTAACACGGTGGCCCCGAGCTGGACTCACGCTTTTTACATGTTCAGTCCACCCAGGGGGTATCTAACATGGTGGTCCTGCGCTGCAAGTGTCCAGGCCACCCATGGGGGTATCTAACATGACGATTATGTGTTGTAACCTCGTGGTTTTACGTGTCCAGGCCACGCAGGAATGTATTTTTACATGCGTGTCCCGAATTGGAACCTCGTGTTGTTCCGTGTCCAGGCCGCCAAAGGGGGATATCCAACATGGCGTCGGGCCCAGCGCCGAAGCATCAGGAAACGCACGGGGGGCCCGAACAGCGCTAATTGAACACATACCCGAATCCACGAAAAGAATGTTGCCTTGCTCTGTACGGGGGGGGGGGGGCGCTTTGGGGGCCTCCCCATGGAAGGTCTCCCGAGGATGCCTCGAGCGGGAGCGCGAAATCAGCGTATCCAGGCCACGCATGGGGTATCGAACATGGTTGTCCCGAGCTGGAACCTTGTGTTTTTTGCTGTTACGTGTCCAGGCCACCCTGGGGGATGTCGAACATGCCCCCCCCCCGAGCTGAATCCACGTGCGTTAACTTGTCCAGGCCGCTCCGCGGCGCGTCCTCCTGACATGCCCCCCCTCTGAATGGGCTCTGGGGCAGCTACTATGTGCTGAGACAGCTCGAGCTTAAGATCCACATCAGTTCGGTCAGGGCTCGGACGCAAAGGAGGATTCGATCCACACCGCTATAGAGCACAACCGCGGCATGGCACATCGCAATTCAGCACGACGCAGCACAGCACTGCCCTCGGCACGGCAAATCAGTACCGATTGACACATCATTGCAACTTGGCACGTTCTGTGGCGCGTCCCGCGGCGAGTCCCCGTGGCAAGTCGCGCGGCGCGCCCCTTGGCGCGTCCCGTGGCACGTCCATAGGCACGTTCCGTAGCGCGTCCCGTTGGCACGTCCCGCGGCGCGTCCACGTGGCATGTTCTTTGGCACGTCGCCTGGCGCATCCCTTGGGACGTCCCGCGGCGCGTCATCCTGGCATGTGCCTTGTCAAGTGGCTCTGGGGCAGCTACTATGTGCTGAGACAGCTCGAGCTTAAGATCCACATCAGTTCGGTCAGGGCTCGGACGCAAAGGAGGATTCGATCCACACCGCTATAGAGCACAACCGCGTCATGGCACATCGCAATTCAGCACGACGCAGCACAGCACAGCCCTCGGCACAGTACATCAAGACCGAATGACCCAGCATTGCAACCTGGCACGTTCTGTGGCGCGTCCCGTGGCGAATCCCCGTGGCAAGTCGCGCGGTGCGTCCTTTGGCACGTCCATTGGCACGTTCCGTAGCGCGTCCCGTTGGCACGTCCCGCGGTGCGTCCCCATGGCACGTCCTTCGGCACGTCGCTTGGCGCATCCCTTGGGACGTCCCGCGGCGCGTCCTCCTGGCATGTCCCCTGTCAATTGGCCCTGGGGCAGCTACTATGTGCTAAGGCAGCTCGAGCTTCAGATCCATGTCAGTTCGGTCAGGATTCGGATGCAAAGGAGGACTCGACCCACAACGCTATATGGCACACACTCGGCATGGCACATCGCAATTCAGCACGGCGCAGCACAGCACAGCCCTCGGCACGGTACACCGAGATCGATACGTTCAGCATTGCATGTGCCCGTAGCCCAATCAGATGTCTTTGAAGCGCCGTCATGTCTTACATTTCTATATTCCTTTCCGGGTTCGTGGGTCGATCACGTTCATTGTTATCAGGATTGGCTTCAGTACACTCCTCATCCGCATGGCTCGAACTAGTATCGGTGCTCTCGCTCATCCTCCCTGTGCTGGCACATCCTGTCCGCGCCGCGCCCACGAGGAGGAGGGAAGAGGGGCAGGAGGAGGAAGGAGCAGGGGAGTGAGCGTCGGGAACAGGGAGGACTGGCAGCAGCAGCAGGAGGAGGGAGGGAGCGAGGGACGGAGCGGGCAGGCGGGAGCAGGAGGCGCAGGTCGTGGGCGAAGACGGGGAGGAGGGGGGGGAGGACCAGGAAGAGGAAGGGGAGGAGGAGGAGGAGGGGAAGGAGGAGGGGCAGGAGGGCGAAGGAGGAGGAGGAGGGGAGGAGGAGGAGGAGAGAGAGGAGAAGAGAGGAGGAGGAGGAGAAGGGAGGAGGAGGGAGGAGGAGGAGGAGGAGGAGGAGGAGGAGGAGGAGGAGGAGGAGGAGGAGGAGGAGGAGGAGGAGGAGGAGGAGGAGGAGGAGGAGGAGAGAGGAGAGAGGAGGAGGAGAGAGGAGAGAGGAGAGAGGAGAGAGGAGAGAGGAGAGAGAGAGAGGAGGAGAGAGGAGAGAGGAGGAGAGAGGAGGAGAGAGGAGGAGAGAGGAGGAGAGAGGAGGAGAGAGGAGGAGAGAGGAGGAGGGGAGAGGAGAGAGGAGAGAGGAGGGATGAGGATTCAGACAGCTTTCGCTATGATTGGCCCTATCTCCGCAAGAGTTTGGTCCAGTTGCCTTCCTTCTTTCTCCCCTGCTTGACCTAACCCCCTCCATCTCCTCATCTTGACTTCTTCATCCCTGTTCACGCCTTCCCTTCTCCGTCGTCTCTCCTCCTCCCTGCTCCGCCTCCTCTTCTCCTTTCTCACTTCTCGTCTGCCTCTCCCTTTTTCCCGGAAAGGGCATAGGCCCAGGGCTTTCTTTTTGTAGGTAAACCTGTCCCCGGTGCCAAGTTCGAAGAGAGCCGGCGAATTCAATTTGCGATAAACAACGAGGTCGAAGAGGGCCGGCGAATTAATCTTAGAGGATGTCCCGAGCGAAGCGCTTGTCTTGCAGAACGTGTTGAGGATGTCTCGAGTGAAACGCTTGTTCCCTACCTAGGCTCTGCCTAGAAGGGTTCTTACTCTCTAGCTTAAAGGGGCCGGGCAGTGGAAAGCGCCCCGGGCGGTTCCCCCAGTCCCCGCCCCGCGGTTCCCCCAGTCCCCGCCCCCTGGGTTCACCCAGCTTAGCTTAGCTTAGCTTAGCTAAGCTTAGCTTGGCTTAGCTTAGCTTAGCTTAGCTTAGCTTATATGTTCTTAGCTTAGCTTAGCTTAGCTTTGCCTAGCGTAGCTTAGCTAAGCGTAGCCTAGCTCATCTTAGCTTAGCTTAGCTGAGCTTAGCTTGGCTTAGCTTTGTTTAGCATGGCTTAGCTTAGCTTAGTTTAGCTTGGCTTAGCTTAGCTTCGCCTAGCCTAGCTCAGCTTAGCTTAGCTTAACATACCTTAGCTTAGTTTAGCTTAGCTTAGCGCAGCGCAGCATAGCGCAGCGCAGCATGAGCACAAAATAGCATAGCATAACATGGCCAAGCCTAGCATAGCACAGCATAGCATAGCATAGCATAGCTCTGCATAGCATCGCGTAGCATATCATAGCATTGCATCGCATAGCATACCATAGCATTAATTAGCATAGCACAGCGCAGCATAGCATTGCATAGCACAGCACATCACAGCATATCATAACATATCATATCATATCATACCACAGCGCAACATATCATAGCATAGCATAGCATAGCGCAGCATATACTGTCATATCATAGCCTATCATAGCATAGCATAGCCCAGCATAGCACAGCCTAGCATAGCATAGCGCAGGATAGCATAGCATAGCATAACTCTACTACTACCGCTACTGCTACAACTGCGACGATGAGGAGAAGGAGGAGGACGGCGTTTACCGTTACTACTAATGTTGCTCTCCTAGGGGTTCCAACTCCTAGGTAGGGTCGCTCTGGGATAATTTTGTGTTGTAAAGTATCCTATCCTTGGTGCCAGAATTCAAAGGATCTCTCAGGTGAAATGCTTCTTTTCACGTGCCCAGGTCTTGAGGATGTCTCGAGCGAGACGCTTGGTTTCACGCGTCCAGGTTGCCCAAGCAGATGTCTAGCATGAGGATGTGTTGAGGATGTCTCGAGCGAGACGCTTCTTTTCACGCGTCCAGGTCGCCCAGGCGGATGTCTAGCATGAGGATGTGTTGAGGATGTCTCGAGCGAGACGCTTGTTTGCACGTGTCCAGGTTGCCCAGCGGGTGTCTAGCATGAGGACGTGTTGAGAATGTCTTGAGCGAAACGCTTGTTTTCACGTGTCCAGGTCGCCCAGGCACAGCACAGCCCTCGGCACGGTACATCAAGATCGATACACTCAGCATTGCAACCTGGCACGTTCCGTGGCGAGTCCCGTTGGCACGTCGCGCGGCGCGTCCCCTGGCACGTCCCGTGGCACGTCCACTAGCACGTTCCGTAGCGCGTCCCTTTGGCAGTGCGTCCCCATGGCATGTCCTTTGGCACGTTGCCTGGCGCGTCCCTTGGGACGTTCCGCGGCGCGACCTCGTGGCATGTCCCCCTGTCAATTAGCTCCGGGGCAGCTGCTATGTGCTGAGGCAGCTCGAGCTTAAGATCCAGATCAGTTCGGTCAGGACTCGGATGCAAAGGAGGACTCAATCCACGACGCTATAGAGCACACTCGCGGCATAGCACATCGCAATTCAGCGCGGCACAGCCCTCGGCACGGTACATCAAGATCGATACGCTCAGCATGATATTCGCCCGTCGCCCAATCGTGTGTTTTTGAAGCGTTGCCATGCCTTACATTTCTGTATTCTTTTCCGGGTTCGTGGGTCGATCATGATTTCTCCCAGAGCTCCTTTCAGCATCATCATCATCCTTCATTGCTTTTCCTTCTCCTCCTGATCAACCCTTTCGCCCCGTCTCCCTCACACCTTCCCTCACTCCCTCCTCCTCCCTCCCTCCTCGTTTTCTTTTCCCCGGAAAGGGCGCGGGCCCAGGGTTCTCTATAAAAAGGTTTCCCCCCCGCGGTTGTGACTTGAAGAGGGCCGGCGAAATTATTCTGCGATAACTAACGGGCTCGAAGAGGGCCGGCGGATTAATATTTGAGGATGTCCCGAGCGAAACGCTTGTGTTTCAGAATTTGTTGTGGATATCTCGGGCGAAACGCTGGTTTTGTGTTATATATATATATATCCTCTCCTGGGGGCCAGAATTCAGAGGATGTCTCGGGGAAATGCGTGTGTTCACGTTCCCAGATTTTGAGGATGCCTCCAGCGAGACGCTTCGAGGATTTCTCGAGCGAAACGTTTGTTTTGCAGAACTCGAGCGGCCTGGGCTCCCCAGGATTCCCAGGTGGTTCGGGGAGCCCGAGCACAGCGAGATTGACTAAGGAACGTGGCCCTGGCACAATCGCGCGGCGCGTCCCCTGGCACGTCCCGTGGCACGTCCACTGGCACGTTCCGCAGCGCATCCCTTTGGCACGTCCCGCGGTGCGTCCCCATGGCACGTCGCCTGGCGCGTCCCTTGGGACGTTCCGCGGCGCGACCTCCCCTTTCAATTAGCTCTGGGGCAGCTACTATGTGCTGAGGCAGCTCGAGCTTAAGATCCAGATCAGTTCGGTCAGGACTCTGATGCAAAGGAGGACTCGATCCACAACGCTATAGAGCACACTCGCGGCATCGCATATCAAAAAACAGCACGGCGTAGCACAGCACAGCCCTCGGCATGGTACACCAAGATCGATACATTCAGCGTTACATGTGCCCGTCGCCCAATCGGGCGTTTTCGAAACCGTTGCCATGCCTCACATTTCTATATTCCACATGTCTATATTTCTTCCCGGATTCGTGAGTCGATCATCATGTTTACTCTCCCTTCTCGGGAGAAGAAAATGACGCATTCACAAGTAAACGTCGATTCCAAGAGATAAGAGGGAAGTGAAGGGAAAGACTATCATCCAGAACATATGAAAGCATATAGGATATCCAGGGATATGTGTGTTTTTATATGTGTGTGTCCGTTGTCCCACTCATCCTCGCTTTCCTCTCTTCCGCTCGACTTCACCCACCCCCGACGGCCACGCCGAAGAAGCACAAGATCTAGAAAGCCGCTTCGGATGGCCAGAATGCCATCCAAGACGGCACACGACGGTTGGCCGCGTCGAGGCCTTTGGCAGGGTCAGTTGGGTGCACTCGACACACTCACCAGCCTGGATCATATCCCTATCCCTATGATTGGCATCGCCTCCTCTCGATGCCGATCTTAGGGATCCCCTCCGTTTCTGAGGGCGCATCCCTGAGATTGTCGTCGACTTTTGGCTTGCTAATCTTGGGGATAGGGATACCTTCGAGGCTGGTTAGCCACACTCACCAACAAGAGACCCAGGCAGCGATACTCGGCTTCCTGGCGCCGCGGCGGGCTTGCGCGCGGTGCCCTTGGCGCCCGGCCCGCCAGGAGTTCACGCGGGCCGTCAGGATATATTACAAGGTGCCAGCGTGCTGGGAGGGGGCAAGGGGGCGAGTTGAGGAGGGGGAGGAGGAGGATAGGATAGGATAGGATAAGATAGGATAGCATAAGATAGGATAGGATAGGATAGGAGGAGGATAGGAGGAGGAGGAGGAGGAGGAGGAGGAGGAAGAGAGTTGCGGGGGAGGAGGATGGCTGTTGCGGGAGAGGATGGGATAGGATAGGATATGAGGCGAGTTGCGGGGGAGGAGGATGGCGGGAGGGACGGAGGAGGATTGGATAGGATAGGACAGGATTCGGCCTTGCGCATGTTTTGGTATCGCCTCGGGCGTGTGCACTCTTGCTCGGCGGGGATTACCGAGGAGCATCCTGGATCATCCTGCGTAAAAAGCACACGCGAAGCCTTCAAAACACAGGGTATGGACGTCCGAGCGATTGCCAGGTGTGCTGGGATGTTGGAGCTGACGCGTCGTGACACACGTGCAAGTACTCCACCTCAAACAATCGCACATCTGCTATGGGAGGTTCAGGGTAACGCGCGCCGCGCAGCATTGTCGACTCTCTCAGGAGGGAAAGAAACACACAGACACAATGAATCGTCGACTCCCAGGAAAATATGGGAAAATATGGGAAGTGGGGGGGAAGACAAAACCCCAGAAAATATGGTAAAAATTGGAGAATCCTTTTATTTGTGTGCATTTGTTGTGTGTCCTGGGGCCCCGTCATATATCATAGATATACATATATATATATATATATATATATATATATACATATGTATATATATATATATATATATATATATCGCTCGCGAGCTGGGGGGGACACCCCTCTGGCCCCTGGAGGCCCACTCCCGATGGCACTGTGTGTGCCAGTCAGGCTTAGCCGAGGCATCCGCCCAGCCCCAAACACAAGAGTCACGAAGCCTGCTGTGCGCAAAATCCGTCTCTGCCCCGACAGAGGCCCCCCCCCTGAGAGCAGCCTCGACCGTCCCCTGACATCGGGGCCCCTGGCTCCGCCTCCTCCTCCTCCTCCTCCTCTCCTCCTTCCTCCTCCTCCTCCTCCTCCTCCTCCTCCCCCTCCTCCCCCTCCTCCTCCTCCTCGGTCGAACTCTGCAGCGGAGAGTCCCATGATCGGGGCCGCCGAAACCGGGGCGCGCCGGGCGCGCCGCCGCAGCCGGGCGCCCGCGGGCGCGGCCGGGCCGCGGGGCGCTCACGGCGCGGGCGGGCCCCCCGCAAGCGGGCGGCATGGGGATGGCCGGCCAGCTCCCCCGCCACGTTGTGCCAGCCGGCAACACCCCAGCCGGAAACACCCGGCCACCGACAGAACGGGCAGGGGCCAGGCCACCACCGAACCCACACCACTCACCCCAAGGGCCCGCCAGGACACGACAGACGACGACAGCGACGGCGACGACACGACGGGGAGAGACGGACCCCCCGGCGCACGACTCCCACGGGGGACACCTGGTTGGGAAGCTAGGCTCCCGTGGGAGACTGCGTGGCCGGGGGCCCCTTGGGAAGGGGACCCTGCTTTGGGGGCCATCCCAGGCGCGGGGGCTTTTCCCCCGAAGGCCCGGCGGTCCCCGCCTCCGCCAGGGGGCGCTTTGGCCCGACACCCCACTCATGGGGGTGCCCCTCCGGGGCCCTCCTCCTCCTCCTCCTCCTCCTCCTCCTCCTCCTCCTCCTCCTCCTTGCGCCCCGAAGGCATCCGGTTGGCAGGGAACCGACCGAGGGGACGGGAGGGGGTCCTGGTCGAGAGGAGGAGGGGGCAGGGGCGGCAGAGGACCAGCGAGGCGGACCCGCCTCGGCGGAGGAGCCGGGGCGCAAGGCCGAGCGGCCCGAGAGAGATTCTCTCTCGGGCGCACTCAGAAGTGCGCCCGAGAGAGATTATGTACAGTGTTGTACTTCTCAGACGTGCTGTACTTCTCAGAAGTACAGCACTGTCCGGGAGTGTGTGCCCATGGGGATGACCATTACCATGCCCACGGCGGCAGAGAGGACGCCGAGGGCAGGGTTACGCTCTGGGTCGGCGGACTCCGCAGCGGTGGAGGTCAGCTGGACATTCGAGCACTGAAACTGCTAAACTGTGATTCGCATGAAATACGGTTGCGAAACAACCATCCACGATAGTAAGATCGCAGGCCGACGCAGGGACAGAGCCGTCGGGACCATTCTTGGGGCATCTCCAGCAATGGACCAATTGCTCATTGCCTCCCAGCCGCCCGCAGGTGCAGGCCGCGCCCGTTGCAAAGACATGGCGACCGAACCTAGTCCGTGACTAGGATTTGAGAGCTCATCGTCCAAAGCAAAGGCATGACGACACGAACCTAGGCCATGCAAGGATTTGAGAGCTTATGGTCCAGCAAAGGGACAACATGGCGACACGAACCTAGTCAGCGACTAGGATTTAGCCTCTCCTTCTCGTTGATACGAGCCCTCAGGGCCTCCATGCGTGAAATCCACTAGGTAGAGGCGGCTACTGACCTCGATCCGAAATAGCGCGTTCTGCGGTCGCTTGGAGGGGGGGGGGTGGGGGGGGGGGTGGAACCGGACCCTCCCCCCCCCCGGATGGAGGGGGGAGGGTTCGAACCCCCCCTTCCCACTTCCGTGACGGAGGGGTCGTGACGGAGGGGGGGTTCGAACCCCCCCCCTCTCCCCTTCCTCCCTCTCCTCGGGCCGGCGCCTGCGTCGGCGGGCGGCTGGCGGCGGCGGCGGGGACGACGATTTCCTTTTCTGGGCCTGACGTCGGCCACGACGACTGGCGCGCAGGCGACCAAAGTCGCTGTCGGGGCCCCGGCGTTCCCCCCAAGGAGGCGGCGACGACGGCAGCAGCGGCGGCGACGGCGCTCGACGCCCAGAACACCCTCGGCGTGCGAGCCGGGGCTGTCGCAGCGGAGCGCCCCAGCCACATGCCTCAAGCGGTGCTACAGGTTTTTGGCCGTTTGAGAGGGCCCATGTTGCGCCGTGTGCAAGACGCGGCGGCACCCGTGTGCGCCGTGTGCGGCTGGTGTGGTGTTCCGGCCGTCGTTCGGTCTGCTGCACAGTCTTGCCTTGGCCACGGCTGCAGCGCTGGGTGTGCAGCAGCCTCCTCCGTCGCCACGAGCGCCGGCTGGTTTGCCCTGCTCGTCGCCTGCAGCCCGTGGCCCAACAAACAATGATTGTGCAAGCTAGTTGGCTGGTGCAGTCGAAGTGGTGAAATCTGTGTTGTGCAATCTGTGTTGTGCACGCCTATGTGGTGCGACATGTTTGGTCTAATCTACGTGGTTCAACCCATGCTGTGACCCGATGTGGTGCAATCCATGATGTTCAATGCACGCGGTGCAATCTACGTTGTGCAGTCTAAATGGTGCAGTCTATGTTGTGCAACTTTTGTGGTTTAGTACACGCGGTGCACTCTACGTTGCGCAATCCATGGCGGCGGCGGCGGCCACGTGGCTGCCAGACCGAAGACCCGGCCCAGACGACGGACGGCGACAGAGCGGCGACGCCGACCACAGAGCCGCCGGATTGAAGACACGAGCCGAAGCAGAAGCAGGAACCATTACGTGCACGCGCAGCGTTGGGAGTGTGTTTACTTTAGCTAGCAGTGTGTACGTATAGTTGTACCTACACATGTATGTGTATGTGTGTATGTAGGTATGTATGTATGTATGTATGCATGAACGTACGTATGTAGGTATGTTTGTATGGTTGCGTGCATGTTTGTATGTATGTGTGTATGTATGTGTGTATGGATGTATCGATGTAAGCATGAATGCGTATATGTGTGTATGTGTGTATGATTGTATGTAGATATATGTGTGTATGTATGTATGCATTTATGTATAAATGCACGCATGTAGTAGTAATAGTAGTAGTAGCAGTAGGAGGAGGAGGAGGAGGAGGAGGAGGAGCAGGAGTAGGAACAGGACTAGTCGTAGTCGTAGTCGTAGTCGAAGTAGTAGTCGTAGAAGTAGAAGTAGTAGTAGTACTAGTAGTAGTAGTAGTTGTTGTTGTTGTCGTAGTAGTAGTAGTAGCAGTAGTAGTAGTAGTAGTAGTAGCAGCAGCAGCAGTTGTTGTTGTTGTTGGTGGTGTTGGTGTTGTTGTTGTTGTTGTTGTTGTTGTTGCTGTTGTTGCTGTTGTTGCTGTTGTTGTTGATGTTGGTGTTGTTGTTGGTGATGTTGTTGTTGGTGTTGTTGTTGTTGTAGGTGGTGTTGTTGTTTGTGTTGTTGGTGTTGTTGTTGTTGTTGTTGTTGGTGTTGTTGTTGGTGATGGTGTTGTTGTTGTTGTTGGTGTTGTTGTTGGTGTTGTTGTTGTTGTTGTTGTTGCTGTTGTTGTTGTTGTTGTTGTTGATGGTGATGTTGTTGTTGTGGTTGTTGCTGTTGTTGTTGTTGTTGATGTTGTTGTTGCTGCTGCTGCTGCTGTTGCTGCTGCTGCTGTTGTTGTTGTTGTTGGTGTTGTTGGTGTTGTTGTTGTTGGTGGTGGTGGTGTTGTTATGTGGTTGTTTCTATATCTCTCTCTCTATCCCTCCCTCCCTCTTTCTCTCTATTCCGACCTGCCTCCCTCGTCCCCCGCCCGCCGCACTCCTTACAAGTTGGTCCTCCCATTCCTGATCCCCCCCCCGTTCCCCCATCAATCCCCCCTCCCTCACTCCCCCACCCCATCCCTCCCGGGGGAGGCAGACGAGCGGGAGGGGCGCAGGAAGAGAGAGGAGTGCGAGGAACAAGGGGGGTGGAGGTGTGCGGGGGGGGGGGAACGGCAGGCCCAGGGGGAAGGGGAGAGGGACAAGCGAGGGAGGTGGGCGAGAAGGGCGGGGTAGGGTGCGACGAGGTGCAGGGGGAGGGACAGGGAGAAGTCAGTGGCAGGAGCAGCTCAGGGACGTGGTACTGGCCTCGGCGGCGCCCGCTTCGGAAGGTTGTCAAGGAGATCGTGTTGTCCGACAACCTTCTCATCGAGCAGAGCGGGCAGATCCGAAGAATGGACGTGGGAGAGGTTATGGAGGCTGCCGCGTTGTTCCTGTAATTCTCTCCTCCCTCCCCATCTACCCTCCCCCGTTCCTTCGCCCCTTCTCGTTCCTCTTCTTCCCCCGCCTCATTCACCCCTCCACCCTGCCCCTCCCTCCCTCCTGCACGCTTCAACGTACCCTTCCCATCTCCCCGTCTCCCTCTTTCTCCTCTGTCCTCCACTCCCTCCCTCCCCTCTCCTCTGCCCTCCCCCGTCTTGACGGTTCCGTCCTCTCTTCTGTCTCCCCTCTTGCTCTTTGTTCCCTCGCCCCCGTACTTCTCCCTTCCTATCGGCCCTGCGCTTACCCCGAGGTCCTCGAGGCGCGTGGTCATCGGTGCATCGCTCTCGAGGTTTCTGGTGCTTCTCGGCGCATCGCTTGCTTTCGGTGCAAAGCCTACACTTGCCACGATCGGGCCGAGGGGGAGGAACAGGAGGAGGGGGTGGAGGAGAATAAGGAAAGGGGGGTGGAGGAGGAGGAGGAGGAGGAGGAGGACCTCTTGGAGCCCTGCAAGACTGCCCCCCTGCAGAGTGCGGGGGCTAGGTCCGCTTCGGCTCCTACGTCCTGCGAGCGTTAAGTCGGGCATGTCCCTCTACAGTTACGTCGGGCGTGTCCCCCCTGCAAGGGGATTTTCGACGAAAGTCAAAAACTACTCAAAAACATACTCCAACATGGCCAACACATACTAAAAAATAGCCCCCATACTATGTTTCTACTATTTTTGAACATTCCCCATGTAGAGGGGCAGGCCCGACTTAACTCTACAGTTATATTGCTCCCATCGTACTTAAGGGCCACATCCCAGACATAATCTCGAGCGCCTGGAACAGTGTCGAAACGGTGTAGAAACAGTGTCGAACGAGTGCCTCCCAGGGCAAGGCACGTGAACACCTCGAAATTCGGTTATCTTTTTTTCTGTTGCTCGAAATTCTTTCGGGTGGTCACGGCTAAAGTAGGTTGGAACATCATAATCTTACAGGAGGAATATTCAGAAATAGTCAGCAGATCGTCGGGGGACTATGTTTCGACTATTGTTTGACGATGTGTGAACATGTCTTGGCTACTCGTCTTTTCCCCACAAATCCGCCTGCAGGAGGACATGCCCGACCTAACGCGAGCGTCACTGCGAGCGTGACGACCTCGCGGTCGAGCGGGGACCGTTGTCTAAGTGGTCACGGCTCGGACAGGCTGCACGGCCCACGGTGCAGCTTTGCATTTGGCAGTGGTGGACGCCTTGCCGCGGGCAAAAACTCCCTCCCTCACCTCCCCGACTGCCTGGGATATGTGGCCCTGAGTCCTGCGTCTGGCGGCCTCTCGGGGCCCTTCGGTGAACTGTTGTCCGTTGCCCGGGGGAGCCCGGGGGGTCCCGTAATATTGACCCGTCCAGGGCACCCTTTGAGATTACCCAGAGTATGCCGATGACGTCGACAGGATCGCGTGTCTGTTTTCCTCCCGTGGATCCCTCCTCCTTACCATCCTTGATGTCATCGTCCATCTCGTCATGCTAACCCTTGCTAATCCTGGGTACCCTCATCTTCCTTCTCCTGCAAACGTTAGGGCGACACGGGCGCCAAAGGGATGTTGGCAGGATGCGTCCTCCAGACACGTCTGTCTACTACGCATGCGTGAAGCACAGAGGCCGTTCTGCCCCTGGCCCCGATGGCCTGACAGATCCAGGTCTCCTGAATTCCACGGTCATCAAAGCTACAGTCGGGGCCCTCAAGAAGGAACCCTTTTCGCTGGGGAGGGGCTCCGCGTTCCTAAAGTGTTCCACAGCTTGCCTCAGGTTTTCCTTGTGTTTTCGATCGGAAATAGAAGTTTGACTTATGGAAAAAAGGGGCCTCGTTCCTTATTTAGGGTTCCTTAGGTCAACGCCCCGACTGTATTGGCCGAGGTTGCTGAATTCTGTTGTCGTGGTGTCTTGCCACACAGTGCCACCAGATACTTCGCTCGCCACTCCGCCAAAAGGACACCACGGTAATGGCCTGGTTGAAGTTGTCTGTTCTCCTGGCGATGTTCGACCCCTCAGCGGCTGGAACGCTGATGCTAACTTGGCATCGCTCGGACTTATGATTTTTTCTTTGCTGCGAGAACCATCGAGGAGCATCTTGGATCTTGGATCATCTTGCGGAACCTAAGCGCACGACATCAAACAACGCACGGGAGATGGACGTCCGAGCGTTGGCGAGCGTAGACGATCGCCAGGGGCTTGGCGTTCACGATGGATCCGTACTTCTCGGCTCAGGCTCCGGACGTGCGGCTGGGCTTCGTAAAGCACGTCAAATCACGGACAGTGTCGCTGAGCTGGACGCCCACACGGTGATGGCGTCGTATCGGCTTCTGGGTAGTTTCCTCCCCAGTGGCCTTGCAGTGGACTATGGCACAGCGCGCGTTTTCATGGCCCATAGCTGGATCCTCAAGATACTCAGTGCTCAGGGCTGGCCCTACTTTGGTTTCGGCCTTTTCCAGAACGACTTCGCCGTCATGTTCATCTTGGTGACGGGGTCTGGGTCCCGAGCTTCATCATCGTCATATGTGTATTGATATGTATAGATGTATATTTTCGTGTCCTGCAGGTTGACTCGCTCAGCTCCGTCTTCTCTATTCTCTGCACATGCCCCTTTGTCCTCGGCCTCGGATCCGCGCATCTGTTTCCAAAAAGGCTGTTTTCAGGATGTGCGCAGATGCTGCCGGCATTGCACTATGGTCAGGCCCGTGACGGGCTTGGCCGAGAAGCTCAAGAGATACGTCTTGTCGCCCACAGGACTTGGCATCGCTCGGACGTGTGATTTTTTTCCTTCGGCGAGGACCATCGAGGAGCATCCTTGATCAGTTGGCGAAAATAACACGCACGAGACCGACACAAAAACACAGGGAATGGACGTCCGAGCGATGGCGAGCGGATTTCTCTTCAAGGCCTCCCTGGTGGTTCTGACTCGGGACTGGATCCGTCTGAGCGTGCCGGACGGGGCAATGCTGCGCCTTGTGCCATTCAGGGTGCAAGGGGTACGCAATGGACAACCAGCCACCGCGCTGCTGCACCGCTTACAGTCGGGGCGCTGAAGAAGGAACCCTTTTCATGGGGAGGGGCTCCGTGATCCTTAATTGTTTCGCAGCTTGCCTCAGGTTTCCCTTATGTTTTCGATCGGAAATCGAAGTTTACCTCATGGAAAAAAGGGGCCTCGTTCCTTATTTTGGGCTCCTTAGGTCAAGGCCCCGACTGTACGCAATGGACAACCAGCCACCTCGCTCTTGCATCGCTTATCTCTGGTGGGGTCCTCACACGAACCCCGCGACGCAGAACAGCCTCGAGGACAGCCTCCACGCGCAGACGGTCTTGAGCTGCAGGTTGCGAGTCCTGGATCGGCCCGCTCCGCTGGTCAACCGCCAAGGCGCCACGATCGCCAGGCTGTCCCGGTTTCCACGCGAGGCTATTCCGGCTAGTCCTACATCATGGGCACGTTTCCACATCGACCAATTGGGTTGTCCGAGGTACATGCCGATCGAGTGCTAAGGCTTGCCCATCATGACGCGCTTCGCCTCGCTTAACTACATGCACCTCCTGGCGGGAAGCGCTTGCCACCACGAGGGCTCTAGCTGAGAACCACGTGGGCGGCATGCTCGTGACCCGCTCCCTCACGCACGACTCGTTGAAGTCTCCCTGAATCTCGGGCGCGGTGCAGATTTCCATCCTTCGTGGCGGCGCTGCGGTGATGGATATATCTGGCAGCGGTCTGCTGCGATTGGCGGTCTGGGACTTACCGCGTCATCGTGTCCAGCGTTTGACCAAGGCGGTTGCTTCACAGGGGTAGTGGGTGTCCAATTGGTCGGCCTTGATGTCTCAGCGTTGGAAAAACTTCACAATCAACGACACGCGATGCATTGCTGACGCTGTTGGGGATATCGTAAACTTCCAGTCTGTCTCTCGGTCGCAACGCGCGTTCATTTAGAGTTATGATGTTCCAACCCATTCTAGCCTTGATCACCAGAAAAGAATTTCTAGAACCAGAAAAGTACCGAAACTCAAGGGTTTTCACGTGTCGGGCCCTGGGAGACACTCGTCCGACACTGTTTCGACACTTTTCCAGGCGCTCGAAATGAATTCTGGGATGTGATCTTCAAGTACGTTGTGAACCACATAAATCTTGAGAGTTTGGTTTGACGGCTGGTTCCCAGCCCGTCGGATGCACGAGCTTGTTTGTCATGCGTGCAACATGCGCGGGTTCACTGATGCGGACCAGCTACGCTACTTCGAGCGCGACACCTGGCAGCTCTTCGTGGCTTGGCCCGGACCATCCTCCCTTTTCGTCTCGGGAACGACCGGGGTCGTGTTCGAAGTTGGGCTTGTGGCGCACGGCGACGCCCGGACCGAGGAATAAGACCGAGGTCGGTTCGGAGAGGGTGCCCATCTGTTTCTCGTGCTTGCCGGCTGCTCTTCTGCATCTCGGTGGGGTACCTTCGGGTCTTTTTTTCACCCTGGCCGGCGAAGGGGGCCTTGTCCTCGACAAAGATGCGATTCTGCCGTGAGGCCGACCGTACGGCCCGGAAGGTGGCTCGCGCAAGAGGAGGCCATTTCCGCAGGGGGGGGGGTCGGCTGCCCGCTGTGCGCCACGGAGCGCCGTCCGCGCCATGCGCCGCGCCCGCTCTGAGCTTCTCGGCTGCGCTGTGGGCTCCCCGACCGTCCCGGCATTCCTAGAGTCCTACCACGAAATTCTCTTAGAACCCAAAAATGTTCCAAGAGCAAAAACAATGTTCTTAGAACAAAAGCCTCATGCGTTAAATCAAGACCAGTCCCAACGATAAATGTTCTAAGAACATTTCGCGAAAACCACCACAGGTTCTTAGAACATTGTTTGGTGGAACTCAAGCAGTGGCGAAGCGTCCCGGCGTGCCTATAGCCCTACCAAACAATGTTATGAGAACCTGTTGTGGTTTCCACGGAATGTTTTTAAGAACATGTCTCGCGGGGACTGGTCTTGTTTTAACGCATGAGGCTTCTATTCTAAGAACATTGTTTTTGTTTTTCGAATATGTCTGGGTTCTGAGAACATTCCGTGGTAGGACTATAAGAATGCCGGGACGGTCGGTCCCTGCTCAATGAACTCGCCGCAGGAAAAAAAAAGTACCCATACCGCTACCCTTTCTTCATTGTCCCCTTTTTGTTCGGCCTCCTGGGAGGCCCTCGTCGCCACCGCTGGCTTCGCATCGAAATCCGGGTCAGAACGCGCCCGGGAAAGGTCCGGGGCGTAGCGGTATAGGCACCTGTTGGACCTGTTGGTTTCCCCGTAAACGTCTTCGTCATCCGTCTCATCTTCTTCCTCAACATCATTGCCCTCCTTTTCCTCGTCCTCCTCGTTTTTGTCCTCAGCGTAGGAAGGGGCTGATGATTATGATGATGATGCTGATGATGATGATGATGATGATGATGATGATGATGATGATGATGGTGATGGTGATGGAGTGATGGAGTGATGATGATGATGCTGATGCTGATGCTGATGATGATGATGATGATGATGATGATGATGATGATGATGATGATGATGGTGGTCATGGTCATGGTCATGGTCATGGTCATGGTCATGGTCATGGTCATGGTCATGGTCATGGTCATGGTGATGATGGTGAGGAGGAGGAGGAGGAAGAGGAGGAGAAGGAAGAGGATGAGAGGCGAAGGAGGAGCAGAGATTCCTCCACCTCCTGGCCGCCGTGGCTCAACGAGGTCCCCGCCCGGCCGCGCCTGGCTGGAGCAAAGTCAGTGGACCTGCCCCATCGATGAGCTCCCTCCTTTCCCACATGATCCGATTCATCCTGCTCCCGCGGATCTTGCAGGCCTTCTCCTCGTCGTCGTCCTCTTCGTCCGCCCGCTTTTCATCATACTTGTCCCCCCTCTGCTTCAAACCTCCCCGAAGGTCTTCCAAGGCCCCATGCTGGACCCCTCCGTGGGCGTCTTCCGCATTCACGGAAGGGCCGAGGGGAAGCCGGGGCTGACGTTCAGGAAGGATGAGGGCGAGGAGGTGGTGGAGGAGGAGGAGAAGGAGGAGGAGGAGGAGAAGGAGTTAGGAACAGGATCAGAAGCAACATCGGAGGAAGAGGAGGAGGAGGAGGAGGAGGAGGAGGAGGAGGAGGAGGAGGAGGAGGAGGAGGAGGAGGAGGGGGAGGGGGTGGGGGTGAGGGGTGAGGGGTGGGCCAGGTCTGGCTGGGCCTGGGCGTCGGTTCCGCACGGCAGGGCGATCTTCCCCTTCCCCATCTTCTCCCCTCTTCCTCCCAAGGGGATACAGTGGAGACCCGTGCCAAGAAACACCCTGCTTGCCTCCAGGGTGCCCTGTATTTCTTGGGTTTCGATGATTTCGCTATGGAAAGCGTGACGTTCCCACACCAAAAACCAATGGACGTCCTGGGGTCTCAAAGTCGGGCTTCTTGTGGAAAGTTTCTTGTGGACTTGCCCCCACTGTAGAGGCCTCGAGGGTCATCTCTGCGATCCGGGGACTTCCGGGAGGCTTCTCGCGGACCACGGCCAGGTCCGCCTCGAAATTTTGGCCAGACCGCAGCCCAGGACAGATCTGTGGGTTTTATGTTGCAAAAAAGTCCCCAGATCGCGAAGCGATTGGGAATGCAGGACAATCATCAGGGCAGGCTTGTATGTGCCTCGTTGTCTCTTGGCTTGTTTGGCCTCTCCTTCGCTCACGCCCACTGGTCACCCCTGACCACTTGTCGGAGGTGGACAGACCTCCTTCCATGACACGTCGATTAAGAAATTGGCCGTCTTGGATTCGCGAGAGGGCGTCGCGGCCGTCATTTTTGCGGGTCCAGGTCCGTCGGTTTCTGTCCCAGGCCGTTTTCACTAAGGGGAGGTCTACTAAAGGGAGGTATGTCCACCGCCGAATTTGGTTCCGGGGAAGAATACTTTCAGGCACACCGCAAGGCCAACGGCGGCGCGGGAGCGTCGACAGACACGGGGGCGTGCTTGCAGGGATGTTCGGGAGCAGGAGCCCCCTCCTGTTATCAAGGGGGGGAGGGGGGGGATGACGAGGAGGAGGAGGAGGAGGAGGAGAAGGAGGAGAAGGAGGAGGAGGAGGAGAAGGAGGAGGAGGAGGAGCAGGAAACGTACCCCTCTGGACCGCCCCTCTCCTGTTGCCCATCGGGAGCGCCTGGGGCGACGCCGCAGGCCGCCGCCGACTGCTCGGATGTCGGGGGTGCTCGCCGGCCAGGCGAAGGGCACCAGCATCGTCCCACCTGGCCCGAGCACCTCCTCCTCCTCCTTCTTCTCCTCCTCCTCCTCCTCCTCCTCCTCCCCATCCTCCTCCTCCTCCTCCTCCTCCTCCTCCTCCTCCTCCTCCTCCTCCTCCTCCTCCCTCCCTCCCCCTTCTTAGCTCGGTCCTCCTCCTCCTCCTTCATCCTCCTCCTCCTCCTCCTTCCCCCCTTCTTAGCTCGCTCCTCCTCCTCCTCCTCCTCCTCCTCCTCCTTCCCCCCACCAGCTCCGAGTTTCTGGAGGCGGTGCTGGAGTCCGTACTGACCTCCGTTCCCTCCTTGCTGGCCCCCTCTGTGGCAGGCTGGGAGCTTCTCGAGGGGGCACACAGTCGACCCGCGCTGAGGGCGGGCAGCCTTCCCAAGGGTACCCTTGCATCCTTGCCTTCTCGGCCCGTCCTTGGCTCCTTTCGCTGGCCGCGCCCCGCTCGAAAAGCCTCGAGATGGCCGTCCAAGGCACTTGCATCCTTAACGCGCATCCCCACAAGACGGGCCGGCTGTACCTCCCTCGGGCCCCCCGAGACATCTCGGAGCCTCTCGGGGCCGCCTCGGAGGGGGCTACCGTGTGGGGTCCCGCCGGGGTCCTCTCGCGGCCCGCCTGGGAGCACTTCACGGCAGTCCTCTCGGAGCGGCGACGTTCTAGGGAAATCGAAGCACTTTTGAGGGGGTCGCTGTTCGGGGGGGGCCAAAGAGTATCAATGTCACGCCGCCGCGGGGGCTTCCAGGGCCCCATCGGCGTGTTTTTCTTTCGTTCTTCGTCAGGGAAAAGAAAAGAAGACAACGCACATCGACAGTAAAACGCCGATGGGGCCCTGGGGGGGCCCTGCGGCGGCGTGACATTGATACTCTTTCGCCCCTCCGATCTATTGCGTTTCGGTGCTGTCTGAATGTTGTCTCATTGGGGGAGGGATCAGGAGAAGGAGAAGGAGGAGGAGGAGGCCTCCCTGGCGACCTTCTGGAACTCACTGGGGGGGGGTGTTCTGTGGTCGTCTGGCTCTCCCCCGTGCTGGCCCTCTTGGAGTTGGGAGCCTATTCGAGCCTTCCTCGAGCGTGTTGGGGCCTTGTTGGAGCCTTGTTGGAGCCCACTTGTTCGGAGACGCTCTGGGAAGCCAGCACCGTGGAACCAACAAGACGTACACATCTCTGCAGGCAGGAGACGACGGCCGTCCGCCGCGCGTGCAGCCGGTACTGGCAGCACGGTCGAGACGCTGAGATACGGACCGCTTTGGGTTCGCAAGGGCTTCGCTGTTCTTGGGGTCCTTACGCAGTGGTTCCTCCAGCGCTCCTCGTGCACCCAGGGGTTTAGTTCCTTGTTTAGCGTTCCTCATTGCGGCCGCCCTACTGTAGAGGCGATCTTCAGAACCCTTCGATACTTCAACGAGCTCGAGAAAACAGCCCACTGCCCCGCCGATTCTCACACAGACCCGCGCCATGGAGGAGCAGTCCGTCTCGGGCCCGCGCCACATCTGGACTTCCTTCTGTATGTCCCCTTGCGGATATTCAGCAGCGTCGAGCTGGATAATCGTCTTGCTAGCGAGAGCGTAGCTGTCCCAGGCAACGTTTAACGGTGTAGAGGCGCGCCCAAAAGGCCGCGGAGGAGACGATTTAGTTGGGTATATTGGTGTTCGAGTGCGGATATTGGCATGGTCCCGAGGGGGGGAAACTGTGTGCATGTTCAGATCCCTATTTGTGCAGCGCAGGCTTGGATAGATGTTAGATGGGTGCGCTCCTGGAGGAGGGGAGCTACGACTTGTGGCCACGCTGCATTACTCCTTCTCTTGGCATCGCTCGGGCATGCGCACTTTTCCCTCCCTCGGCAGGGGCCATCAAGAAGCACCTACAGTGGAGGCCCATGCCAAGAAACGCTCTGCTTGCCTCCAGGGTGCCCTGGGTTTCGATGGTTTTGCTCTGAAGAGTGTGACGCTCCCACACCAAAAATCGAGGGACACCCTGGGGTCTCAGGGTTGGCTTTTTCTGTGGAAGGTTTCTCGTGGGCTGGCCCCCACTGCACTCCTCTTGCGAACAACATCGAACGAAATGCACGACGCCGAGGCATGCACAGGACATGGACCTCCGAGCGATCTACAGCTCGGGTCGGGAGCCCGAGGCCACCAGCCTCGCGCGCGAGGCGACGTGCTGCCGTACCTGCAGCGCCTCGTGGCCTCACGGCGCCGTTGGCAGAACGTGTCTTGGCAAGACTGTGAAGGCCTTACGGCCGGTGCCGCCGACCCTGAAGACGACGACGACGACAGCGACAGCGACGACGACGACGACGACGACGACGACGACGACGACGACGACGACGACTCTCCGTGCCCTCTCGGCGCCGCTGGCACAGCGTGCTTGGCAAGAATTCCCGTGGCGCGACAGTGCTGAGCACTGTGGCCCAGGCTCTGCCTTTCCTCTTCTCCTCTCGGCAGCGAGCCCGGTGGAGAAGTGAGAATTCTCACTTCCCCACCGGGCGTGAGAGTTCTGAGCAGGCACGCCCCTCGAGGGGCGTGCCTTCTCAGAAGGCGCGGATGTTCCCGGGCCTTCTGAGAAGTGTCCTGAGCCTTCCCCGGAGGCACAGAACACCTTGCAGATCGGGAGCCTCGAGACGGGGGTCAGTGCAAACGGGGGTCAGCCAGGGCACCAGATCCTGCAGGATCCTGCAAAGACCCCCTCTGGCTGACCCGGGTTAGCGAGCCGCTCGTGGCCGCGAGGCGGCCGCTCCTATTGGCTGACCCGGGTTTGCGAGGACCTGCGTTGCAGTTTTTTTCTCGTGCATTTCAGTTTTTTGGTTTCCTGCTGACCCGGGTCTGGATTGACCCGGGTCAGAAGATCCCCGAGCAGAAGGCGCCAGGGCTTCTCAGACGCCTCGCCGCCTTCTGAGAGGGCCTTTTTCTGACCTCCCCCCCTTGCTCGCCGCCGAACTGAGGTCCAGGTTCTGCTCTGCTTCTCGGCCGCGCTATTGGCTGACCCGGCAGTTCAAAGTTGCGGTCCCTTCGCGTTCGGGATCGTCGGTGGCAAACATGTTTGGCCAGATTTCCTATAGCGTTAAGTCGGGATTGTCCCCCTACAGGGAGAATATTCAAAGATAGTCAAAAAATAGTCTGGGGACTATTTTATGAATATGGTTTGACCATTTGTGAGTATTTTTTGAATATTTTGTTACTCCCGTCGAAAATCCCCCTGTAGGGGGACAGGCCCGACCTAACCATAGCGCGAAAGCGCTGGGCACCGTGGCCTGGGCTCTGTGCCTCCTCTGCTTCTGGAGCGCGCCATTGGTCGGGGAACAAGACGTGGACATAAGCACAAAAACTCAGAGGTCCGCGCGGATTCCTCGGATCGGCGCTGGGGCAACCTGGCTGCGCCTCCGGCGAGCTCCGCGCGCCAGGAAGAGGGGGTCAGCGCCAATCCGAAGAATCCGCGCGGACTTCGAGCTGCTCTCTTTGCTTCGAGTCGGAGATCGACTGCACGAGCGGATCAGTTCTGGGGCAGGTCAATTCTTCAATTCTACAGTCGATCTCCTGTTCGATTTGTGTCATTGTTTGCTCTCCTGATTTCGGATGCAACTCCTGGGAGGTCAAATTCTGATTTAGCCCTGGTCCGACCTCTGGCTTAATCCCGCTTAATCCGGCTTGATCCTGCTTCGTCCGAGGCCCATTCCAGCGTAACAGCTCCCAAATGGGGCTTGATCCTCTTTAATTTTTCCGACGAAAGCCTCCCAGTAGTTGCCTCCTAACATTTGGTGCCAGTTTTGTTGGGTGGTTGGATGAAGGGCATGTTCTGCCAAAGCGGAGCTTCAGCCTGGTCTGCGGACCCGTGCAGCAATGGTATCGCAAGGGAGGCACGCCGCGCAGCGAGACAGGCGTCTGCAGGGACGACGTCGTTGCTGCATCTTGGGTCTGCTCCGGCCCTCCTGCTCATCATCCTCATCTTCTGCCCGCCCCGTCTACAAATACAGTGCCGTTCTTAATACATGCTCCGCGTGCGGATCATGCATTAATAATGCAGGGATTCAGTATCAAAAACAACGATGAGTTCATGCATAAATTTATTCATATATTAATCATGTACTCAAAGTCCTATACTTTCAAACATGCTATGTATCAAACATTGCCCTGTAGACATCTTGAGTACACGCCGGTCGTTGGAACTAGACATCTTGCATACGCACCAGCTCACAGGTTCGGAGGCCGCGCGTTCGGGGCCTCCCTCCGCCCCCCCTGCCCTCCTGCGGCGCACCTGTCTGCTGAGCAGGGGCCGACCGTCCCAGCATTCCTATACTTGGCATCGCTCGGACGTGTGCATTTTTCCTGCGGCGAGGACCATCGAGGAGCATCCTTGACCATTTGGCGAGAAAGCCACGCACGAAACCGACAAAAAACACAGGGAATGGACGTCCGAGCGATGGCCAGTATAGTCCTACCACGAAATGCTTTTAAAACCCAACAATGTTCCAAGAACAAAAACAAGGTTCTTCCGGGGGTGGCAAAGAGGGGGGGGGGGAATGACTAGGGGGGGGGGGAGATCGTGGCGGGGGCCATGATATTTCCCCAGATTTCACGGCGCCTCTTCTTATTTCATTACGTCCCTGGCCCCCCCGCTGGGCCGCGCACGTGCCGCCGCTCCTGATTCGCACCCCGCCCCCCCCTCTTGGACACCCCCCTCTTGGCCGCTCTCGATTCTTAGAACATTTAACCCGATGCGATAAAACAAGACAGTCTCCCTCAGAAATGTTCTAAGAACATGTCGTGGAAACCACAGGAGGTTCCTAGAACCTTGTTTGGCAGGGCTATGGGCGAGCCAGGACGCTTCGCCCCTGATCCAGTCTGCGGCGAGGACGTGCACCGCCCACCTGCGCACGCCGCGGGAGATGGCTGTCCCGCGGAGCGGCAGCTGTGGAGGGTTCCGCTCGCTGCCTCGCTCCGACGGGGCCGCGATTCCGTCGGGCATGTCCCTCTACAGTTAAGTCGGGCCTGTCCCCCTACAGGGGGATTGTCGATGAAAAACAGAAAATACCCCCAAAATATTCCAAAGAGGTCAAACAAATATTCCAAAAATAATCCCCAGACTATTTTTGGATTTTGTTTGAGTATTTTTGGGGTATCTTCTATTTTTCGTCGACAAATCCCCCTGCAGGGGGACAGGCCCGACTGAACTCTACAGGAGGCGCATCAAAAGATGCTCCAAAAGTCGTCTGGGGGACGGTTTTTCTACCATGTCTGCCTGTTTCTGATCATGCCGTGACTTCTCTTGCACTTCTCCTCCGAGATCCGCCTGCAGGAGAGAACATGCCCGACTGGAGGCTCGGACGAGGATCAGCTTGTTCTTGAGCGCTCCGGAGCGCTCGTGAGAGCGTTCCGGCTGGCTCCGAGAAGGCCGCGGCGCCCGAGGCATCGTCCAGAGCGGCCAGAATTTAGAGATGCAGTCGGGGCGCTGAAGAAGGAGCCTTTTTCGTTTGGGAGGGGCTCCGTGTTCCTTGGCTGTTTGACTGTTTGCCTTAGTTTGACCTGCGGTGTTCGAATGGAAATCGAGGTTAAACTTAAGGAGAGAAGGGGCCTCGTTCCTTATGTATCGTTTCTTAGGTTAACGCTCCGACTGTACTCGATTTACCCTCACCCGATTTGATCCTCGTCCTGGCTTCGTCTGCTTCGTCTGGGTCCGAGATGCGCCCCCCGCCCCCACGCTTCCACAGCAAACGCTCAACGTGGGCGGGTGCGTTTCAGATCGCGGGTGGGGTATGTAATGCGCCATTTGTCATTGTGAGAATATGTATATATATATATACATATATATATATATATATATATACATACGTATGCATATTGAAGTCGATGCGCACATAATTATGCATATGGAATATGTACATGTGTAAATATAGGTGTATGTGTAAGTATATGTGCAAGCTCCACCCCCTCTAGTTCCCCACAACTGTTCGTGGAGGCATGCTGGCTTGTGTGCTCCTCCGTCCCGGTGCCGCTGCAGCACGCCAGCGGCCCCAGGGGAGGACGCGCCTTCCGCGACGGCATCGTCGGCTGGGTCACGGTGGCCGCGCCAGCCGTGCAGGCACAGCCGTGAGGAAGCAGCTGTTCGGCGGCGAGCGAGGGGGGGGGCCTGGCGTCGCTTGGACGTGTGCATGTTTTTGCTCCTCGGCGAGCACCCTCGAGGAGCGAGGAGGGGGGGGGCCTTCTCGGGCGGGGGCGGGGCTGCTCGGAGGGCCTCGGGCCTCCTGGGAGAGATCCTCGGCGTCTTCCGGGGGGAAGGCTTCGCGAACTGTGCAGAGGGTCGGGGGACGTCCGAGCCTTCTGAGAATCGGGCCGGACGAAAGGTCAAGCAGTGGCGAAGCGTCTTGGCTCGCCTATAGCCCTACCAAACAATGTTCTAAGAACCTGTGGTGGTTTCCAGGAAATGCTTTAAGAACATTTCTGGCTGGGACTGTCTTGTCTTGTTTTAACACATCGGGAATTTGTTCCAAGAACATTGTTTTTGTTCTTAGAGCATTTGTGGGTTCTAAGAACATTTCGTGGTAGGACTATAGGAATGCCAGGACGGTCGGTCCCTGCTCAAAAAGGGGGGGATGGAGAAAGGGGGGGTTACGAAATTTGCTGCATGCAGCTGGTTTCGGCCTGACCGAGGGGCCCATTCCTCGATACATAGCCGCCTCCGGCGCCGCGAGGCGCCGGGAAGATCAGCTACGTGAGCTGATTCTCACCCCCCCCCCCTTTGCTATCCCCCCCTTTCGCCCGACCCGAGAGAAGGCCCTGCCCTTCTCGGAAACTGGAACATGTACATGACCAGTGGCGGGCGGTGTTTCAATCCCAGGATTTTTTCGAGGGTCGGGGACGGCGTCGGGGTGGTGTGGTGTATACCTTTTGTCCCCGCTTTCGCGGGGGAACAACGAAGAGTGTATACACCAGGATCCCGTATACAACAGGATCCGCTTTCCTGTGCGAGATTCAGTGTGAGGCCAGACAAAGGCGTCAGTTTATAGAGTTCGGCTCCTTACCTTCTCACTTCCCCCCCCTTGCTCGCCGCCGAGTTGTGTGGAAGCAGCTACGTCAGGAACATGCCAACTTTTCGCAAGCTGTTCTCTTTGACATGGTTGCACGCTGACTTCGTATCAGCGGTAGGTATCCGTAGACTCCGCGGACGGAGTCGTGATGCATGTGTCAGCCGATTGTAATCAGCATGGCTCGGCGTAGGTCATCCCAGGCGTCGATTGCTTCACATGTGCTGTCCAGTGCTTGTTTTGGGTGCTCGGCATGGGCGTCCGCGTGCCACTGGGCACTACTAACATGGCACGATGTAGCAGCAGCATTAGCACAGCTGACTGGCACTGAGTTGCGCGCCTCTGCCCTGCACCCCAAAATCGCTGCGTCGCGTATGGGCGCCGCCTGCCGTGGCGCTTTTACAGGTGGCTGGCAACCAGGGGGTCACCTTCCTGATGCCCGGCGGCAACGTGTTCAAGGTGATCAGCGATGCATCGTTTGTGTCTCTCTCATCTCTAGGGGTACAAGAAGTGGCATAAACATACAAACTCTGAGTTCCGCGCGGATTTCTCGGATCGGCTCTGGGGCCCCCTCCCTGGCGCGCGGAGCGCGCCAGGGGCGGCGCCGGAGGCGCCGCCGGGGGGCCCCAGCGCCGATCTGAGAAATCCGCGCGGACATCCGAGTTTTATGTTTATGTCACTTTTTGTTCCCCGTAATCTCCCTTCTCTGAGCGGCGAGCCCAGGGGGGAAGGGAGAGGGGGCGGGCCTTCTCAGGAGGCGGCGGGGCCTCTCAGGAGGCCCTCCGAGAAGCCGCCCCTGCTTTCAGAGAAGGCTCGGAAGCTCCGCAGAAGGACGTTCCGACGTACGACCGACGCGAGTCCGAGTCACTCCTAGATAAATCAGACGTGAACCCGACGGAAATTGGGTCTCGAGTTGCCGCGCGAAGCTTCCAGGATCTTCGTCCTAACGACAGCCCGCCCCGAGTGCCGCCCCCCGCGAACCGTTCGGCATGGACTGCGCTCCGATCTCGTGAGGCTCTGGCCACGGTGGCTTGCGCCGGAGAAGCATGAGAGAGAGGGGGAGGTCGGGTGTTGCTAGAGGTGCCCTGGGCCCTAGGTGCCCTCAGGATTTCCAGTGGGCGCACAACGCCATCGCAAGGGCGCGCGCACTCTGATGAGGTGCGTTGTGCGCGGGCACAAATCAGTAGGGGAAAAAGCACACAGACACAATGAATCGTCGATTCCCAGATCATGTGGGAAAATATGGGAAGTGGTGGGAAGACGAGAACTAAGAAAATATAGGGAAACATGGGGAATCCTGGGATTTGTGTGTATCTACTTGTGTGTCCTGGGGCCCCCTCCAACAACTTCCGCGCCCGCGCCCCCCCGGCCCGCGCGCAGGCGGGCGAGGTGCGCGCGCCGGCCGCCTCCCGCTGCCCTGCGCCTCGCGGCGCGCGGCTCCCGCGAGAGGGGCTGGCGCGCGCGCGCATTGCTGCTCATCGTTGCCCCGCCATGGGCGCCGCTCGGCTCTGGCGCGCACGGGCGCCGCTCGGCTCTGGGCGCGCCGCGGGGGTCCCCTCGGGGGCGGGCCGCGGCACGCCTCGGGGTCGCGCGCGTCGCAGGCGCCGGCGCCCTGCGCTGCGCCGTGGCAGGCGGCGCGCGCGCGCTTTCGCCTGTCCTGGCCGTCTGCTTGTCTGGGCTGCTTGTCGCGGCTGCTTGTCGTGGCTGTCTGTCTTGGCTGCTTGTCGTGGCTGTCCGCTTGGCTGCCGGTCGTGGCTGTCGCGTCGCGGCTGCCTGCCGCGGCTGTCTTTCGTGCTCGTGTTGGCTTGCGCTGCTGCCGCTCGTCGTGGCTGTGGGGCCGTTGTGTCGTGGTTGTCTGTCGCGGTTGCCTCTCGCGGCTGGTTGGTTGCCGCGTCGCGGCTGTCCGTCGCGGCTGCCCGTTGCGGTCGTGCCTGGCTGTCGCTTCGTGGCTCTTGCTGGTCGCGTCCTCGGTCGCGTCCGCGGCGTCGCGTCGCGGTTGTCGCGCTGTCGCGTCGTGGCTTTTCGGCCGCCGCCCGCGCGCGCGCTGGTCGCCGCCCCCCCCCCCTCCCCTGTGCAGGTCCCTGCTCCGATCCCTCCTCCGCCAGGCACAGGTGTGTCCTCTCCTTCCACGACGTATTCCCTCGTCTGTTTTGCTGGCTTGAAGGTCAGGGCTTCTCTTCTGCAGTGGGCTGGCCCGCGCGCCCGCTCCGCCCTGGGCGCGGCTTCTCGGTTGCCCTTCGCACGCGCTCGCTCTGCCCGCCAGGCTTCTCGTGCCACCGCGCGCTCTCTCGGCGGTCGTGGGGCCCAGTCGGCCTCGGCCGCTGGCGTGTGCCAAATTCACGGGTTCAGGCCAATGCAAAGTGCTTCTGCACAGGCGCATAATTATTGTCCGTCGGTCCAGAGGGACCACGCGGGGCCAATGCGGCTTTCGCTGGGCCGCAGGCCCATTCGGCCTCTTGTACGCGCGGCGGAAATGGGGGCCAGTCGGCCTTGCCGCACATGCAGGCCAATACGCTTTGCTTCGATGACGGGCGCATCTGCTGTCCGTCGGCCCCAGGTGACCACGCGGGGCCAATGCGGCGTTCGCACGTTTCGGCGCAGACCAGACGGCTTGCTTGCAAACGGGCGCACGTTGTCCATCGGTCCAGAGGGACCACGAGGGAACTATGCGGTTTCCGCAGGGGCGCGGGCCCATTCGGCCCCAAAGCACGGTGGATTTGGATCCCAGTCGGCCCCGCCGCAAATGCAGACCAATGCGGCAGGCTTCGTTTCGGGCGCATTCTGTCCGTCGGCCCAGGCGGCCACGCGGGTCCAATTCGGCCATGACTGGCGCGCAGGCCCCATTCGGCCCCGGCTCATTAGCGTTCTGGGGGCCCGTGGCCCTTGCCGCTCTTGCATGCAAGGCGGCCCGTCTTCTCGCGGGGTCCGCCGGCGCCCTTCGGGCTTTGGCCAAGGCGGCCTCTTGCGTCCCATGGGGATTTTCTGCTCGTCGACCCAAACGGTCAGTCCTTGGGCCTTTGCGTCAGGGTGGTTTCTCCACGCGCTCGGCCGCGTCGTCGTTTCGCACGCGCGCAGCGCTGCGCCGTCTCAGAGTTACGCGTCGCGCGGGCCCGCAAAGCGTTGCTGCGATTGCCGGAGCGCAGCTGGAGACGCCTCGCGCTTTCTCGGGCGCGTCGAGGGCGCGGGCGAGCAGCAAGCGCCCGGTTCGACTCGGTCGTTGCGGCGCTGGCGGCTGAGAGCGCTTCCGCTTCGGCGCCCTCAGAGGTGGCTCGCGCCAAAATCGAGGATTTTCGTTTCAAGGGCGCAGAGTTGGGCGGCGGCGAGAAGCGATGCGCCCGCGCTGCCATTAAGCTTGCCGCGCGCGAAAAGGTCCGCGGGCCAGCGAAACGCTCGCGCGCGCGCGCGTTCGCGCGCAAGGCGCTTCCGCGAGCGAGGAGCGGCGGCGGCTGCGGCGCCGTGCAACGAGGGCGCCAGCGCCGCCCCCCTCGCGTTGTTCCAGAAGAAAGACGAGGCTTCAGTCGAGATCGTTCGCGCCCGCCGATGCGAGAAATCGCGAGCGTCGCGGCGCGGGTGCCCGCGGCGGCCCGCCCGGACATCTTCGCTTCGCTCATGGATGCGAACCTCGAAGGTGTGCCCGGCGACCTCTTGCCCAGGAGCCGTGGAGGCGGCGTTTTATCGCGCGCGACGCACGCGGCGCTGCCCCGACCTCGTCGAGGAGCTTGCCAGCGAAGCGGCCAAGCATAAGATGCGCGGGGTCGAAACATGTTTCGTTTGCGTGAAGCTGGCCTCGTGGCTGCCGCGGCATTTCGCTGGCGCGCTTCGCGATGCCGTCGTAGACGATGGGAAACTTTCCGAGGGGCTCAGAAACTTGGCTCAGGCGCGGCTCTTTCTCTTTCGCGCGTGCCCGCGCCGCGCGCCATTCGTCGCGCGAGGCCGCGGGTGCGAAGGCGACGCCCGAGCGCGTCTTGCCCGCGCCAAGCCAATGGCATCTCCCGCAGAGTCGTTACGCGATCGACGCCCACGCCACGGGCCAGCTGAGTTACGCCGCAGCCGCGGCCCACCGCGACGTCTGCATGGCGGTGGGCCTCTCGGCCGTCCGCCGCGAGCGGCGGGTGCAGTTGGCGGTCTACTCTGACGAGCAGGCGCGCAAAGTTTGGGCGGGGCGCTCGCGTTCCGGCCTTTCGAGGCGCGCGCGCTCCGTCCGTCGCGCGCAGGTGGATCGCGCTGCAAATCGCTCGAATCACGCCGTCCTGGATCGCGCCGAGGACGGAAGCACGCGACGCCGACGAGGCAGCGGCCAAGGCGGCGCCGAGTGAATCGAGCGCCAAGGGAGACCCCAAGGGCGCTTCAAAAGGCGGAAGGGGCAAGGCCTCGCAGACCTGGAGCAGCGGCTCCAGCAAGGCCGCCCCCTGAAGCGAGAGCGGCTCCAACGCGAGCGGCTCCGACGCGGTCGCTTCGAGCTGGAACGGAGGGGCCGGGCGGGGCGAGCGACGGCCGCAGGCGCCGCCGTGCCCCGTGAAGCTCGAGTTTTGGCTTGGCTTTGCGCGCGCAGCTTCGGGGGCGCATGCAGGCGACGCGCGCGGCCGCGCCAGTCGCGTTTCGCGTCGCGAGGCAAATTCATCACTGCGTTGCGCGACAGTTCAGTACTCCTACGCTGCAAAGCGGCACGCGCGCGAGCGACCGGCCGACAGGTCGGCTTGCGCGCGCCGTCGTTCTGCGCTGGGTCGGGGCCTGCACCCGTGCGCCAGGGATGCAAGGGCCCCCGAGCGCCCAGGTCGACGGCCGGCTGGCCTTGCGCTGGCATGGAATGGCGGAATACCTGGACATATGCAACGCTCTTGTTGGGGTCCGTTTGGAGCCATCTGGAAGCCTTGCCGGCGCCGTTTGGAGCTTTCTGTTTTGTTTGGTTTCTTCGGGCCATGTTGGAGCGTCTTGGGGCAATCTCGGAGCCATCTTGGGCTCTCCCAGGTATCACCGACACCTCCATGATTCCTTTCAGGGTCTTGGGGCGCTCTTGGGCTGTCTTGGGGCCATCCTGGGCCGTCTTGGGGACGTATTGCGCCGTCTTGGGCCGTCTTGGACCTGTCTTGGCGATCTCTTGGAGGCGTCTTGGAGCCATCATGAGCCCTCGGGGGGCCGTCTTGGGGCGCTCTCGGGCCGTCTTGGGGCTTTCTCGGGCCATCTTCGAGCCTCCTTGGGCCGTCGCCAGGCCGTCGTGGAGCGAAAGGGCAGGAGAGCCAAAAACGCTGAAGCCTCAGGAAAAGCAATGGTTTCCGTTTCTTGGCTCACCTTCTTGGGCTTCTGTTGGGCCATTTGGGAGGCGGTTCAGGCCATCTGAGGCCATCTTGGAACCATATTGAAACCATCTTGGCTGTCATGGAGCATCTTGGAGCCATCTTGAGCCGTCTTGGAGCTCTCGCGGGCCTTCTTGGCCCGCTTTGCGGGCCATCTTGGTTCGTATTACGCCTGTCTTGGATCGTCTTGGAGGCCATCTTGGGCTATCTGGAGCTCTCCGGAAGGGCCCTGGAGGGCCGGGGCCAAAAAGGTTGGCGACTGATTTGGGCCCATGGGAGTTTTTCTGTCCCAAAGTGACCAAACTGACATGTGCGTCTCAGCACGGCGCCACCGCAAGCGGGGGCGGCCGGATCTCGGGGCTGCTGCCTCTGCCGCCGACCCCAGCTGGCGTTTGGTTTTTGTTTGAGAGTCGGGGCTCGGGGCTCTACTTGGGGACTTTCGGATCCCATGGGGCCGTCGTGGAAGCGTCTTGGGGCCCCCTGCGCGTAGATTCGCTGCAACAGCACATGCGCATTATTTGTTTCGGCCGGCCCCTCAAACCTCTGCCCTCGGAGCGACGGCCCAAGCGGGGCGCGGCGGCGAAGAAGGGCGCGAAGGTCTGCGCAGCGCGCCGGGGGCCGCGACGGCGGGAACGTCAGTCGGCTCGCACGTGGACAGTCGCGGCCGATCGGAGCCGCAAATGCATGCGTTGCGCTGACGCTGCAGCTGCAGACCGGGGCATTGCGGCGCAGAAAGATGCGAGGGTTTGCGCTGTGCGCGAGGTGGCGCAGCGGCGCATGTGCTCTTCGGATCGCACGTGGGCCGGCGCGGCTGATCGGCACCGCAAGTGCGAGCGCTGCGCCGAAGAGGGACAGTTGCAGCGCGGCCGCTGGGAGTGAATAGCCTGCAAAGGCGCCTTGAGGAAGGAGGCGTTCAGCCGCTGGTTGGCCAAGCGGACGCGTGATGGAGTCTGTTGAGGAGACCCACGAACGCGCGTGTCTGGGCGATGGTTTGTCGGGCGCGGGCCGCGCTGCAAGGGCGCGACGGCGCTGCGCGGCGGGGTCTCCCAGGAACGCAACTCCTGAAAATGTCGGGTGGGGGGGCCCAATATCAGAGCTCCTGGAGCTGGGGGTGCCGGTGCGAGGCTGGGGCGCGGCGGGCGACATCGTCACGGCTAGGAATTGTCGGGGGGGGGGATCCGAAAAATCAGAGGCTCACGGGGCGAAGATGCCGGGGCATGGTACATCGGCAGGCTTCACGCTATAAGTGGACAAATGGGGGGCCCCAAGAACCAGAGGCTCAGGGGCTGGGGCCGGGGGGCCCAGGGCGAGGCCAGGTTCGCGGCGAGGCGCGCGAGCGGGCCTCGGGCGAGAGAAGGCCCGGGGGGGGCCCAAGAACAGATACCCTGGAGCTGGGGGTGCCGGGGCGAGGTAGGGGGCGCGGTGGGGAATCTTTGTGGGTGTCAGACGAGAAAATGTCGAGCGGGGGGTCCGAGCTCGTGGCGCTGGGGGTACGGGGGCGAGGTGGGGGGCGCGGTGGAGTGCACCGGTGGGTTTCAGGCCAGGGCGCATTTCCCCGCGTCGTCGCATTGGCGCGGAAGGCGCGCCCTGAGCTCGCGGCGTTGTCTCTCGCGGAGAACGTCAGCTCCATGAGCGAAGCGGACCGCTGCCAGTTCACCGACGCTCATGCGTCGCTGCCGATCGAACCCTGCGCCAGCGGCTGCAGTCCGGTCAGCAGGCCAGGGTTGCACTGGCTCGAATTTCCGCGCCTTTAGACCCCAGAGTTTTTGTTGGGGGGAAGATGCCAGGGTGATCTGTGGGGCACTCCGAGGGGCACTGCCGCCCTGGGCAGAGTGGCTTGAACGAGGGGCGAGCCGTCCGCGGCGAGAGAAAGGCACTTGGGCGACCTTCATGCGCCCCATCCTCCGAGAGGAGCCGCCAGTCACCCCCGCGGGCCTCGCGGGCACTGGGCCTGCCGCGAGGGCTCGCTTTGAGTCGGAGCAGTACCGCTGCGCGCCCCGCCAGTACAAGCTCGGCAACATGGTTTTCGACGGCCAGTTGCGCTTCCGCCCTCTGACGAGCGCGGAGCTGTGCGGCTGGGCTTTCCAGCCAAGCACTGTCCCTGGGCGGTGCCCAAGTCCGCGGGTCTTTCAGGCCGCGAGGTGGAGGGCGTGCGCTGCGGGCTCCACGGGAACGCCTTCTCGCCCCCCGTGGTGGCGATGTTGCTGGGCCGCGGCCTTTCGGCTGCAGGCGCGCTGGCGCGGCCGCCGACGGTCGCGGAGTGCTGGGGCGCTCGCGACGTCGAGGCGGACGAGTACGTCAGCCATCTGCTGGGCCAGGCCCCCTCCAGCGCCAGCTGCAAGGAGGCGCGCGAGGCGATGCGCGAGGGCCCGGTCCGCTCTGCCATCTTCAGAGGCAGCGACGCGCGCATCGCGAGTGGACGCGCGCACAACCCAGCTGGCTGGCCGCGCCGCGGGGCGGAGGCTCACGCGTGGAAGTGGAGGTTGTGTCTCTCCTTTCCTCGGCGCGGGGGTCGCCGTATCAACGTTTTGGAAATGCAAGCCCTGCTAAGCACTGTTCAGCGGCGCCTGCGCACGACCTCCGCCCTGGGAGGCCGTCTGATTCATTTCTGCGATTCTCAAGCGCGCATCGCTGTGGCCTGCAAGGGCAGGTCGACTTCCTCGCCGCTGCGCAGGTTGCTCAGGGGCTCGAGTACGCTCCTGCTGTCGACGCCGTGCCAACTCTTCTACGTCTTCGCGAGGTCGGAGCCCGATCTGGCCGACGCGCTAAGCCGATGGTGGAGACCGCGCTAGCGACAGGCACGAGACAGCAGAGACGACGCGACCGAGCAGCAGCAAGCACATTGCGATCACTCCAAGTCCAGCCGCGCACGCTGAAGCGCTGCGCTGAGGCCCCCAAGTGGTTCTTCAATTGGCTCGCCAGCCGCAACGAGCCAATGCCCGAGGCCGCCGCGGCCGCCGACGAGGTTCTCGGAGAGTTTGTGGAAGGGTGTTGGGCGCAGGGCGCGCCCGAGTCCATATTCGGCGACGTCTTGTCGGGCCTGCAGCAGTTCGTTCCCTGCCTGAGGCGCGCGCTCAAAGACTCGTGGCGGCTGTTCTCGACCTGGTCGAAGAATGAGGCTCCCTCGAGAGCCAGGCCCCTGCTGCCTGAGCAGGCGCTGGCCATGGCAGGCTTCGCCTTGTCCGAGGGAGATGCGGCCATGGCCGCCGCGGTGCTCGTGAGATTCAGCGGCTTCCTGCGGCCTGTTGGGGCGATGCTGCAGGCAAGCCGGCGCGCGTGGGACCTTGGCCGCGGCCTGGCCCACGTCGACCTCGGCGTCACCAAGGGCGGCAAGCGCGCTGGAGCGGCCGAGCACGTCGTTATAGACGAGCCCGAGGCAGTGATTATCTTGGCTCGCGTGCTGGGCAATGCACCGGGCGGAGCCCAGCTTCTCCCCCGAGGGGCCGCCAGCTTCCGGGCCAAGTTTCGCCACTCTGTTACGAAGATCGGAGCACACCCTGATCGACGTCGCCCTTATAGTGCGCGCCGGTGAGGCGTCGCGCACCACCTCCAGGTCATCGGCAACTTGAGCAAGACCTGTGTTCGAGGCTGCTGGAGGCATCAGCCAACAGCGGGGATCTACATCCAAGATGGCGTGGCCACGCTGGAGCGCGGACGCCTCTCGAGCCAAGAGACGGCCCTCATGGGCAAGGGGAAGGCGCTGCTGCGCCGCCTGCAGCGAGCCCTTGGCCAGCCCAATGCCTCCACAAATCGTCAACCTGGGGGGCGTGGAGGAGCGCCCGCTGGGTCGCGGCCGCGCGTCGCCGCCGCGGCCCTCCGCCTGCCCGACGCCGGCGGAGGCCCTTCCCCCCGTGCCCGAGGAGGCGCTCCTTGCGAGGGCAGGAGGGGAGAGGAAGCGGCTGCGGCCAGCTGGTGGCCGCGGGCGCCGGGCGCCCTGGGCTCGGCCGCGCTCGCGCCGCAGGGCGCCCGCCGCCGCGGCGCGGAAAGGCGCGCGCAGCGCGCGGCGTCCACCGGGGGGGGAGGGGGGCGAGCATTATAGATTCGGCTTCGCTTATTCGTACGAACGCTCGCCCCTCCGCTCCTGGCCGCCGCCGTTCGGGGCCGCCGACCCGCCCCGCAGCTTGAGGGTCTCCGACACCGACGAGCTCTACGCGGTCATCGTCACCCGCGCTGAGCCGAGGGAGGGGCGCCCGATCGCGGCCGCACGTCGCCGCCGCGGCCCTCCGCCTGCGCCGCCGGCGGAGGCCCCCCCCCACCCCCCCCCTGCGCCCGAGGAGGCACTCCCTGCGAAAGGCAATAGGGGGGAGGGGGCGGCTGCGGCCAGCTGGCCGCGGGCGTCGGGCGCCCTGGGCTCGGCCGCCCTCGCCGCAGGGCGCCCGCCGCCGCGGCGCAGACAGGCGCGCGCCGCGCGCGGCGTCCAGGAGCCTGGAGGAGAAAGGATTTATCATTAAGAATAGAGCTCCTGGCGCTTCGGGTGCCGGGGCGAGGTGGGAGGCCCCGGGGGGGGCATCGGTGGGCGCCAGGCCCGAAAATGTTGGGCGGGTGGCCCCAAGGACAGAGCTTCTGGAGCTGGGGGTGCCGGGGCGACGTGGGGGGGGCGCAGCGGTGGGGTATCGATTAGTTCCGGTTGAGTCAACCCCAGTGGGCTGAGACGGCGCATGTCTGGAGGAACGCCCGCAACGGTCGTCAAGTCGGCCCGGAGACTGCGTTCGCTAAGGCGAAGGCGATCATCAATTCAGCTCCAACACTTCGTTCGTCAAGACGAGAGGAGCCGTCAACTCGGCCCCAACATTTTCTGCGTCAAGACCGAGGTTTTTTCCTACCGTCGGCCCGGCCCAGCGTGTTGTTCGCCAAGACGGAGTGGGCGGCGAGGGAGGCCGTCAAAAGGGTTCATGAATGTGGAGGGGGGCCGTCACGGGGGTTCGTCATCCCAGAGGGAGGCCGTCAAAAGGGGTTCGTCAACTTGGAGGGAGGCCGTCAAGGGCGTTCGTCAATGCGGGGAGAGGCCGTCAAGAGGGTTCCTCAACTCGGGAACAGGCCGTGAAGGGGGTTCGTCAATGCGAAGTTGACGGCCAAACCTTTGGAATTGACAGCCAAATTTTTTCACGACGATGGAGTTGACGGTTCAAGTGCCAGAGAGAGTATGCATGGTCATCCGTCGCGGCGCCCAGGCCCACATCCAGATCTGCCGCCCGCGACAAACTCAAGTTCCAAGCGAGAAAATGTCGTGGGGGGGGGGCCCGCGAATACAGCTCCTGGAGCTGGGGATGCTGGGGCGCGGTGGGGGGGATCGGTGGGTTTGCGGCCCGAAAATGTCGGGTGGCGGGCCCGAAGAACAAAGTTCATGGAGCTGGAGGTGCCGCGGCGAGGTTGGGGGCGCGGTGGAGGATATCGGTGGGTTTCAGACCAGAAAATGTAGGGTGGGGGGTCACAATACAGACCTCCTGGAGCTCGGGGTGCCAGAGCGCGGTGGGGGGCGCGGTGGAGGGCATCGATAAGTTTCAGGCCAGAAAATGTCGTGTGGTGGGTTCCAACAACGAGGTCGTGGAGCTGGGGGATCCAGGGCGCGGTGGAGGGTACCAGTGGGTTCCACGCCAGAAAATGTGGGGTGGGGGGTCTCAAGAACAGGGCAGTTGGAGCCGGGGGTGTTGGTGCGAGGTGGGGGGCGCGGTGGGAGGCATCGGTCGGTTTCAGGCCAGCAAATGTGGGGCGGGGGGGTTCAAGAACAGAAATCCTGGATATGCTGGCCCACGGGTCTGGACCCTAAAAGTTTTGACCTCTGCTAGTGAGTTTAACTTGCGTTCTCGACCAGGCGTGCGCTCGCCAATTCATTGCGCTCGCTCACGTTTTTGGCTCGGCTGTCCGCATTCGTCCCCGCAGCTTTCCTCTTTCTTCTCCTAAAAATATTGCGCTGGAGAACAAATTGGTGTCGTTCCTTCTTTGTCGTTCCCTAGGTCAGGCCGATGACTGTAGCGCTGCGTCTGGCGCCGTGGCGGCGGGCGGCAGCCCGCGCCGGGGCGTGTTGGCCCGACTCCCCCCCCCCTCCGTGTGCCTCTTGCCCTAGGTTTTTCTCCTCTCCTTTTTTCTCTTGCATGGTCCAGCGCGCCCCCGCAACCCTGGCCTGTGCGAAGCGGGGCCAGGTACGGCACGCTGCACACTATCTTCGTTATTCCCCTTGTCATTGCCTTTCGTTGATCATTCGCCGTGAGTCTTCAGAGAGCCGCGCCGCGGAACGTCCCAAGGGGGCGGGAGGCGCACGGAACAGCAATCATGTAGCGACGACGGGAGAGCCGCGAGGATTTCGAAAGCATGCGCGTAAAGAGGATAGGCGTAGCACGCGAAGCTGCCGCAGAGCGTGTACAACTATGCAGAGCAATGCACTGATGCACCGATGCAGCTGCAGCAGAGCGTGTGTGCACACTGATGCACATGCAAATGTCTAGTATGTTTTGAATGATGCGCGCCGTAGTGGTAATGATTGCCACGACGTTCACCGCTGGTCCAGCCCCAGCGCTCGACTTTTCCAGCTTCCAGCGCTCGACGACGTCCCAAGAGACCCCCAAGAGCGTCCAAAGACGGCCCACGGGGGCCCCGAGGGGCCCTAGAGGCGCCCAAGACGCCCGAAGACGGCCCCAAGAGAAGCCCGAGCGCAGGAGGCCGAAACCATACTTTGAGCCGGTCCTCCAACATGCCCCCAGACGGCCCTAGAGGACTCGATGGGCGCTCCCCAGATGGCCGCAAGAGGCAAAAACCACTGATTCGAAGGTCTCGACTTCTCGAGCTTCCGGCGCTCCACGACGTCTCAAGAGGTCCCGAAGACTCCCCATTGGGCCCCAAGAGGCAAACATCATGCATTTTCTCAGTTTTTCGATGCTGTCGGGCCTCTCGACTTTCCCAGCTTCCGACGCTCCACGACGTCCGTCCCTAGAGGCCCCCAATACCGTCCCGAGACGGACCGCCAAGAGGCCCCCAAGACACCCACAGACGGCCCAAGGGGGGCCCCGAGCGGCTCTAGACGCGCCCAAGACGCCCCAAGACGGTTCCAAGAGGGGCCCGAGTGCAGGAGCCAAAAGCGATACTTGGAGTCTTCCGTCCCAGATGCCCTCAGACGGCCTTAGGGGATTCGATGGGCGCTCCCCAGATGGCCACAAGAGGCAAAAACAAACGATGTTCCCTAGGTTTTGATGGAGTTTCGAAGGTCTCGACTTTTCGAGCTTCCAGCGCTCCACGACGTCTCAAGAGGCTCCTAAGACCGCCCCGAGATGGCCCAAGAGGCCCCGATGAGGGTCCCAGGACGGCCCAGAAGAACCCCTAGACGTCCCTAGACGCGCCTAAGACACCCTAGAGAGCTCCGAGACGGCCCCAAGATGGCCCTTAAATTGCCCGTTGCCATTCTGGCTCAAGCCTTCCTGACTCATCGGGCGAAGAGAACTATGCACATGCACCGATCCTGACAATGCCCATCCTTGACCCAGGATCGGTGCATATACCTTCCTGGCCAAGGTAAGAGGGCGTATACACCGATTCTGGGCTCAGGGTTGGGCCTGGCCAGAATCGGTGTGGGCCAGCGGATTTTCGTCAAAAATCCGCCTGTAGGAGGACACGCCCGACCTAAGTTGGTCGCCTGTAGTTCTTGGAGGAGGCACGACGTCACATGTCTGGGGTCGGACTTCCATCCCCCTTTTGCCGATCGATCCGAGTCGATGTCGATGTCTGTTCGGGCTGGCCCGATCCGATTCCATGTCCATGTTCCGACGATCCGATGCGGCCCGATGGTTGCCATGGCGCTGTTGTGCACCGTGGCGCAGCCAATCCAATCCGATGTCGATTCCGTGCCTGTGCAGACCGATCTGGCGCAAGTGTCGATGCGATCCGATTTCCCGGCTCAGTGCTGGCCGATCTTGCATGAAGGACGCATTTGTTTCCTGGCGGAAGCGGTACTGGACCCCGGGGCCCTTCCCCGGGGTCTGACCTTCCCTGGGTCACCCGTTGGGTTGCGCTTCGCGCGTCGCGGTCTGGGCCAGAGCGGTTACCCGTCCCCACATGGGGGCAGCGCGATGGCGCGAAGACAGCCGCGCATCGCGGGGCGCGCTGCGCGAAGTTCAGGGAACAGCTTGGAACATCTCCCGACCCCTACGATGGGCATCGTTTCGTATCCACGCCAAGCTTTGGATTGTCTCAGCTTTTGAGGGCGCAGCCCCAAGATTGTCATCTTCATTTCGGCTTCTTCCGCAACCAATTTGGCTCAAGGCTCTCCCGTTGCAGCTTCCAAGGGGTTTGGCTCGGCCGGCAGTGCCCTGCGTACACTATCCCAGCCATCCGCCGCACTGGACCGCTTGCGTGCAGTTCCCCGCGATGGCGGAGGCGCGCCACACGGCCCGTCTTTTCAGCGGCGACCAGGCCGCGACCTTGCTCCAGG